GTATGTGTATGTATGTATGTATGTATGTATGTATGTGAGATAGGGAGCTTAGAGTGTTAGCTACTTAAGGACAGGGACTGATGTGAATGTAAAGCACTGTGTAAAATTGCCGTCGCTATATAAATACCTGTAATGAATAAATAAATAACTGTACATTTGTTCTGCGTGAATGGAGACAGAAATAGATGTTATCAGTATATTTTCTTTTCAGGTAAAATGTAATATTAGGCAAATACCACATTATGGTCACTAGATAGAGCTGAGGAGCAAAAAGAAGTATGTATTTCTTATGCTCCTTACCGCCATCTAGTGGCCATAATGATTTATTTTCCAGCTGTTCCATTTGACCTGGAAAGAAGATATACAGTTGACCCCCGAAATTTGCAGGTGTTACAGTTACAATCATAGAGCACCCGCGAATTGTGCAAAACTGCAAATTTTAAATGTGGTCAAAAAAATGCCCTTTAAATGTCTATTTTTATAGTTGAACCCCTAAATATGCCCCAAAACACTTTAATTTAATTTCAAACTCAGCTTAATACATTACCCTTAAAAAAATAAAATAATGTAAAGGTAAATCCGTATACTGCACAGTACTGTACTGCTATGTCTCCCGCAGTGCTAGAATGTAAAATACCAATGTTACCTCTATATGGGAAAAATCCGCGAACGAGTGAGGCCGCAAGCTCTGAATCGCGACTTTGCGGGGGTCGACTGTACTAATAATATTTGTTTTTCCTTCCACTCGCACAAGACAAATGTGCATGCAATGTCGCTGGGCGAATGGCTCTGAGAATTGATTATAAATACACTACTTATAGTTTTCTCTTATAAATACGCCCATTTGGTTATTTCAAACATTTCTGTATGAGTAAATTAATGTTTGTGCTTAAATAAACAGAACCTGTTAACATTCTGCATGCTAACATAGAACACTATAGAGTGAACAATCCTGGTTTTAGCCAGTATATAGTCATGTTCTATGTTACCTCATGTCCTGTGTGTTTAATCATTTGTGGTGTTTAATACACTACTCACGTTAACTGAATCCACCCTTCCTCTGCCCTCAGTTCAGGATCCTGTACAGTACTAAAATAGCAAGATTGATTACATAATACACACTCTACTTCCATTCACCACTTTCTAAATCCTCTTCCATGCTCTTTTCCTCTCAGTCCTCACGTATTTTAGGCTTGTAGTTGGGAATGATTTTGCTTTTCTTCTCTTTTTTTCCAACTCCTCGTTTTTATTTGTGATCCTTTCCATGAATGGGTACAGAACCACTCTCCTGTAAAATAGTGTGTCCTGATAATGGGATAGATGTATGGAATTTCTTTATTTATTACAGGTATTTGTATAGCTCTGACAATTTACGCAACTCTTTACAAACTGGACATTCACATCAGTCCCTGCCCTTGAGGAGCTTACAATCTAAGGTCCCTATCTCACATGCATACATACAGGGCCAATTTAGACAGGAGCCAATTAACCTACCAGCATGTCTTTGGAGTGTGGCAGGAAATTGGATTACCTGGAGGAAACCCACACAAGCACAGGGAGAATATGCAATCTCCTTGCAGATAGTGTCCTGGCCCGGATTCGAACCAGGGACCCCCAATGCTGCAAGGCAGAAGTGCTAACCAATGACAGTATTTATTAATTGCATTTTATTGTTTATTATTTCACAATAATAATAATTTCACATCTACCTTTATCTACATTTCTTTCCACATTTACATGTAGACTCAACTCTCCACCAAAGTTACAGTGACAGAAAACTTTACAGGGTGCCTAAAGTGCAACAGAAGCCAACACTTTTGTTTGAGTGGAGAGGGCTTAGAACACCTATTAGGTTTATATTACTGCCTGTGTCCCCATTTGGGAGATTCACACCCTCTATGTATCCTGGCGACTGTTATCACTGAAAGTGAATCCTACATTTTGGGTTGTCATCAAGGACTTACTTTATGTGACGCCTCTTGATGCGATCATCTTCTTCCTTCGATATTAAGTCCATATACCTTGCCGCACTCCTCCCCGGATATCCCAAGAATAACGGGTGCTTGTAATGACTGCAGATGGCGCCACTAGAAATCCATCCAGAATCAAATCCAAATGCCACCAGCACTCCAGCACGAAAATATACGTCAGTGTAAATCCACTTTATTGCGTGGCCCCGAAAGCGCTTATCTTTATGACATCTATCAATAAAATGGATTTGCACTGACGTATATTTTTGTGCTGGTGACATTTGCATTTGATTCATCTTCTTCCTTTCACTCGTTTCCAACAGTCCTTGCAGCACTGCTGCTGGTCTCTGATCCAGCGCAGACTCCTCTGTCTTCTATGTCCCACGGAGTCTGTCCGGCGTGCACGCTCCCGGCTGCGTGCATTCACTAATACTGTGTCTCTCCTCCTCTCCCCGCCAGTGATATTGACTGCGCATGCGCCCGCACACATCATCCTCCTGCACGGCCGCCCGAGAAGCTCGATTCTACAGCCGGGAGGAGCGGCACTGGCACAGGAAAGTTTTTAGCTCTTTGCCAACTATTTTCCTTTTTTAAATGTTTTTGCATATATCTGCTGCTTGCTAGCCGTAGATATAGAGGGGGGCTAATAAAACCCCCCTATGTGATAGCAAAATAAGTTTAGTGAAAAAAAAAAAAGGAAAACAAATTAAAGTTCCCCCCCCCAAAAAAATGTTAAGTTACACATAAAAAAGAATTAAATTTTTTTTTTTATTTTACCAAAAAACTGGGTAATAATAAGTGTTTCCTAACATAATGTAAAAAAAAACTTTTTTTTTCAAAATTTTCAGTAATTTTTCCTGATTATAGTAAAAAATAAAACCCCCAGTGGTGATTAAATACCACCAAAATAAAGCTCTATCTGTCCCCAAAAAATGGTATAAAATTAATTTCAGTACAGCGTTCCATGACGGAATAAACGTCAGTCAAAGTATCGCAGCGCTGAATACTGAAAAATGGCCTGGCCAGGAAGGGGGTCTAAACACCTGGTCTTGAAGTGGTTAAAGTCAAAAAGTTTTTAAGCTATTTCAAATGCTGATAAAATTATTTAGAATGGATGCTGCTCCTTGATGTTTAAAAGTTTTAGTTTCCTGCAGAATCAGCTGGTTCCCTGAGCACTGGTCCTAAAATCCTGTTTTAGGGTGACTCCTGTGCCTTGCGGGGTCCTATGGAGCCACCATTGTGTGCTAGTAAGCTGTGTGTCTATAAACACAGCAAGGCAAGCCACTTTTCTGCTCTGTGCTCCCTGCCCTTCCCTTGTCCAAGCTAGTAGATGGACAGTTTAGGGTTGCCACCTATCCAGGATTCACCCGGACAGTTTGGGTTTTAAATGCTTTGTCCGGGTTTCATGGCACCAGGAACCCGGACACAAGATGTCAGGCAGACAGGGCAACCAAAATTAAGATAGGGGCTACTGGCCCCCCACCGAAAATAGTCTCAACTGTGTTATTTACATATTAACCAGTTGACATCCACGGTGTTAAACCCCCTTCCCATCCAGGCCATTTTTCAGAGAGAGTGTTCGGGCTTCGCTTGAAGAAAAAGGTGGTAACCCTAGGACAGTTGCTGGAGATTTCTCTGTCTCTTGTGATCTTGCACTGGACAGGAAGTTATGGGAAGCCGAACTGAGAGAGTTGGAGCTGTTTGGAAACATGATGACTGTAACAGGGTTATTCACAAAAGGGGTGAAGAGTTTGGAGAAGGCGGGAGAAGTGAACAATCTAGGACAACATAGCTGAACTGGAAAGTGAGCTGAATTGTAGAATTTTTTCGGTTCAGCTATGTTGTCCTAGATTGTTCGTTTCTCCTGCCTTCTCCAAACTCTTCACCCTTTTGTGAATAACCCTGTTAGTGTTTGGTTAAAAATGTAAATACAAACTTTACTGGGCAATGTTCGATCTGGATTTATCATTTATCAAAGTGTTTAATACTACTTTTAATGAGAAGATGCCTCGCTGCACTCCTTACAGGATAAGTTCCCCTGCAAGATGCCGGTGGGTGCTTGTAATGACCACGGATGGCGCCGTGAGATTCAAATGATGTCACCAGCACTCCATAATATCTCGTATAATCAGCAAAAGTCCATTCATTGACTAATTCTGCCACTCAAGTGCAAGCGCTTTCAGGGCCACACAGAGTCCACTTCATCAGACTCAGAATGACACTGCCCTCCTACTTCAGACCCAGAATGTACTTTTCCTTTAAACTGGCTTTTTGCAGTAGCAAACAAGATAATTAAGATATGAGATTAAGGTTTTGGCACAGAATAACACTTTTGGTAGTTGCATAGTAACTTTTCATACATATTAGTACATCAGAGGGACCAATTAGGAGTAGGGAGGGACAGAGGAACATGGTTCTAATGAGGGACAGTGAGGAGATAGGGGTGCAGTGTTATGAAGGGAAAAAACACAGAATTAGGTATAAAGGAATGTGCTGCTCTGACGTCATCAGTCTAATGCAAGGGGAGGAGCTATGGACTGATCCCTTGTGCCAGTCTCCGTTCTCTATATATAGAGCTTCCCAACTCCGGGCAACAACAAACCCACGTCACGTGGGTCACATGGGGAGAAGGGAAAGAGTTTGTGGATTATAATATGGTGGAGGTCAGCGGTGTCTGCATACAGCCCTATTCATCTGCAGCAGCAGAGTGGCTCTGCCAGGTTAGATGATACGTGGTGTGAAACAGGACACTGCACTCCTTATAATGCCATCCAACCTCCTCCACCCTCCTCTCTGAGTGAGCCAGGATCTGTTTACATGACCTCATTACATTATAGTCAGAACGCAGCACATGCAAACGAGTGCTGACCCCTGACAGCCCCCCCATGGCTGGGTGACGTCACGCCTGTCCCCTCATTCCATTCATTGTTGTATGTGTGCCGCTTGTCTGTTATCTTGTTCTCATCTGCTGTCTCTCCTCCCCACCTTCCCCTGTTCCCTCCCCCTCTTCCTACTCCTCCTCCTCCCCAGGATGATGATCGGTTCCAATAGAAGTGGAGCTCAGGCTGGAGGTTTCTTGTTTCTAGGATGGAGTTACCGCTGCTTTGCCCTGTGTAAAGTTTAACTCGGAGCGAAGTGTTATCTGGCCGTGTGGGGGGGACATCGGTATCAGCCCCGCACCTCCCGGCACAGGGGGATCTCTACACCAGGCGACATGTGGAAGCAGAACAAGAGCAAAGTTCTCATTGAGGATTCACCTGATGAAGAGAATCACACTCAGCCGGACCTACAGGTAATGTTCTGTGTGTGTGTGTGCTGCCCCAGGATCGCACCGATCACCTTAGGATCTGATCACATCCTGTGTATTGTGGATATTATTCTTATGTGTTCTCCAGATGTCATAGTGATCAGCTGACCCTGAGTTTAGGGACATAGTCTGGGCATACACTTAGCAATATTCGGACAGGTTCAGTGGAATGGATCAAGTGGACCCACCGCCAACACCGGGGGATATTTTCCATCGAGGTCTAAGGTCTTGCAACAATTGATTTGAAATGATCAATCATTGTGACAAATTTATATAGTTCTGAGACCGAACACAAGGTACCCAATGCACGGGGTATTTATTGAGGGGGTTCCGGTACTCATCGATAGGGGTATTATAACAAGTTGGGGGTCAGATGGCTATTAGTGTCTAACACAATCCTATGATGACATCCCATGTGGTTCCAGGGTCCCACATCACTCTCTTGTAATACAAGGGGTGAGCCCCTCCAGCTGTTGTGGAACTACAAGTCCCATAAAGCATGGCAAGACTGACATGACTCCCAGAGTCACGTTAGGATTTGTAGTAAAAGCAAAGCTGGAGGGCCGGAGTGCCCACCCCAACTTTACAATCACCAGCTGGTAATCTAATGCCAGCAGAGAATCAACTGTGTGACATGGGTAGACTATTGTAGTTCTAACCACTACATGGTGAGCCCTAGAAGTCTGAGCATCTGAGAAAAAAAAACTGTATGGAACTACAAGTACCAACATCCCAGTAGCCGAACACAGCGGGTAATGCACTACAAGTCTCAATGATCCAGTAGCAGCGCACAGCACAGCGAGAGCTACAAGTATCAGTGCTCCAATAGCAGTATGCAGCAAACTTTGAACTACAAGTCCCAGCACTTACCAAATGGCTTTGCAAGTTCAGGTATTCCAGGGGTGGTTAGAATTTAGATCCCTGACACCCAGACTCTGGCCCTTTTGGTGCGTGCTGTGCGGCCCTGAGCAGACTTTAGCAGTCAGTAGTGGAAGCATTCATGTGTAAAGAGGCTTTAATAACAGTGATCTCTGGCAGTCTTATGTAGCATGTCCCCAGGCTCTGACTATCTCATGCAGTGTGTTTTTAGTCTCCAACCACCCCTGTTGCATGTCTGCAGTCTCTGATCATGTCCTCCTAGTATGGCTCTGATACTCTTCTGTCATATAGTGAATATTATGTGTGGCCATGTGGAGTTGTCTGGTGTCACAGTTGAGGCCCCTAGGCATTGTTAGTTGACAACCACTGTTTTAGATCTGGAGCTGCTCAACTGACAGAGCCCTGCCTCAGCAAAGGTTCTCGTCTCTTTGGCTCTTTCACAGACCTGGAGCCCCAAACTCCACAGGTTGATTGTCAGATATATGTGTAGTAAGGGTGGAGAAATGTAATCTGGAGTTCGGGAGCCAGTCTGTCCAGTCCAGGAGACAGCAGGATCTTTTAGGAGCCAACTCCATTGACCACAACTTACGAAACCCTCAAAAGTTGGGTGCCCGCTGTCTGTGTTAAGGAGTTTTGGCAACCCGGCTCCTGGGATTTGTCCAGCCATGGTATATGGCGAGCATAATGTGGCCAAAATGACCATAGAAATATATTGTCCCAGTTTTCAGAACCGCTAATTTACCTGCACAGTAAAACTTTTTTTTTCTGCATGTTTATTTCAGTACAAGGCATTAAGGGCTTGTTCACACCAGCTGCAGACCAGATCTGCATGAGTTTCTGCACACGCAGTGCAGTGTGTTTTGGCGCGTTTTTTTGCTGCATTTTTGAAGCGTTCAGGGACGCTTTGTAAAAAAAATTTTTTTTATACATATATTTTTTTAAAGGTTTAAAATGGGCTTTCAGTGGGTTGCAGTGCGTTTGCATCTGTTCCAGAGCAGGTAAAAAAGGGCTTGCTGCAGTTTTTTTACATGCTCTGGAACTTAACGCTACGGTGTGAACTAGAACCCAAAATACCATTGGAATACATTGGACGCAGTTTTGTTCCGGTCTATAACTGCTCTGCTCCTGGAACGCGCTTGGTGTGAACTTGCCCTAATGCTTTGCAGGGTTTCTAAAAAAAATGTCACACGCTGCCTTTAAAAGCTAAAACGTAACTAATATATCAGTTGTAGAACCTTCATGATTGGCCTTAGTATGGTTGTTTGAGCAGAGTCGTATCTAATATAAAATGCGCCTATGGCGTCCCGCCTAGCTCCTGGCAATTAGTGACGTCAGTGCCTGCCAGAGCGAAAATCAGCTGTCAACGTCCCCTGACCCACAGAGCGGCATCCTCCCCCTTTAAGTGGCATGTGCCATGCCCTGATTATGCCACTGCATTTGAGACCATATTGGATGGGATGACTTAGTTGTCCCAGTTTGGCTTATGAATTACTTAGCAGCCCCAGCTCAACTCCTTGGAAATGAAGTTTATATGTTGCCAGTGGCATCTATGATATGCTGCTACAGGTCCACATTCTTACTTTGGTGCGCTTCCAGGCAACACGTTAAAAACGTGCAACACGTTTTCATTGCCATTACTTGTTAATGGTATCCCAAACACGGCTGGGGAAAAAACGTGGATCGCTTGCAGCTGAAAATACTGAACAAGCTACTTTCCCACATTTGTCGCGCATGTGCAGCCCATTGGTTGAATGGGCTCACGTGCAGCAAACGTGTGAAAAATGTGAATGCACACAAACACGTGTTCACTCTACATGAAGCATGAATGGGGCATTAAAGTTTCCCATGATTTGTCACACATTCCAATTTAGAACGTTTGGCGTTAGTGGTTTCATGCAGAAATTGTTATGATGCCACAAAAGATGCCTAGCTGTTCGGCAGCTAACTTGCTTGTCACACAGACAGCAAAGCTCTTCCAATAACATTGTTGTTGCACATTTTACAGTGTAAGCAGACTTGTGAATGGTGTTTAGCTAGCTCGGAGTACAACACAGAACATGCTTTGGTTTGGTGCCCCAGGCAATGAGGGAGGATGACTTTCCCAGAGTCACTTATCTTGGGCTGGTAGCCAGAATGTTATCACTTGTGGTGTAGCAGTGTCGGCAACACCCAGGAGATGCAACCCACGTGGCTGTATTACTGGGCAAGCTCTTGTTGTTAGGAGATATTCTTTGTAAACACACCCAGCAAGTATATCAGCCATAGTTTCTTTTGGAAAAGACACCGCAGGATTATAACTTGTTTTTGTAGAAGCAGTAGATTCATCACAGGGATGCTACCTGATGCCGCAGATACATAACCGGGATGCTACCTGATGCAGTGGATACATCACAGGGATGCTGCCTGATGCAGTGGATACATCACAGGGATGCTGCCTGATGCAGCGGGGATGCTGACCGATGGGGGATGCATGACGGGGATGCTGCCCGATGGAGGGGACGCTTGACAGGGATGCATGACGGGGATGCTGCCCGATGGAGGGGATGCAGCGGATGCATGATGGGGATGCTGCCCAATGGAGGGGATGCATGACGGGGATGCAGCGGATGCATGACGGGGATGCTGCCTGATGCAGCGGATGCATGACAGGGATGCTACTGGATTATTAGTGTAGGTTTGCTGTGTTACATTTTTGTTCTAGATCTGTAACATTAAAGAAACCCTGTTGCAGACTTTAAAAAAAAAAAAAAAAAGTCCACAAACGTGGTGTAGTAGCTGCAGTCATTCTTCTTTGTTTTGCAGAGCTGGAAGTGCCGGTAGAATCTTCAGCATGTCTGCACCTCCCTGCTGCGTGCCTTAGCCCCTGGTGGTTTCTTGCAACTCTGAAGGGACACTGGTGATGTAGCGTAGTTACTATTCTGTGTTTTTTTGTAGGTCATAAATTAAGGTGTCTGAGGAAAGAAGTGTTTGCTTTGGTTTCATAGCAACGAATCGTATTCCTCCTTTGCAGTGTGGAAGGAAAAGGAAGAATTGATTGGATCCTGTGCCACTTCGCACATTTTGCTTTTCATCAGTTGTGGCCCATGTTCCTTGACTGCATTATCAGATGCGTTTATCAATGGCTTATCCATTATCATATCAGTATATAAGTAAAACAAAAGCAACAGTTGAAAACTTTGCCCTCATCCCCTGACCTAACAGAGCCAGTCCACCCCCTCTGCAGATGCATACTTATCGGGATCTGGGAGGTCTATGGGTCTCATCTCCCTCTATCTCCTGGCTGGGAGACAGAGGTAGACGGGCCCTATAGAAGTCCATGGGGCTTCACCGTGTAGGCACAGCCAGCAGAAAGAGGACATCAGTGAGTGATATAAAGACACGCAGGAGGCTGTGGGTGCCAATTTCTTGGTAATGGGGTGGGTGGGATCTGTTAGGTTAGGTGAGGGCGGGGCACTTATTCTTTAACCTAAAAAAAAAAAAAAATGCCTAAAGTAACATTAAACCAAAACAATTGTAGTTTCCCTTTTTAGAATGTATTAAGAAGGCCTTCTTATTTCTTTACTGTGTTCCCTGAGTAACATTGGAAGTCCCCTGGCTGATTTTACTTGATGATGTTTACAAACGTGCAGCTGTTTATATGAACACAATCAAATATTACATATATATTGTTAAGTTGCTAATGTTCTGGAATCTCAGTAAGATTAGCTGAGCTAGCTTTAATTTTGCTAGCTGTGTTCATGACCTATATTTTTTTTACGCATGTTCACTTGCTGTTCATTACTGCACACTAAACATTGGAGACATACTGTACATCAGGCTCAATTTAAAAAAATTTAAGTTCTTTTTGGATGTGGTTAACAGGAAGGCTACCGAGGTCACCAGCCAGTGCGGGACCTCAGGCAGCAGCTTCAGTTTAAAACTTTAGTGCCAGTGTCTGTGCTTAGTATCGGGGCATTTTCACGAGTACGAATACTCGTGAAAATGCCTATTATTGGCACAAGTGCATCCCTACTTAATAATATAAATGTCTTTGTCGTGGCGGCCAGGAGGCGAGACTAATTGGAGAGGATCCACTCCCATACTGCAGAATGTGCCGCCCGGTGGTG